CGATAGTACCTACTAGATATTACCAATGAACGAGACACAACGCTGACTACGTCCATCTTCAGTCAATCCAACAACTTGAATAGCATCAGCAACACAGTTAACGGCATTGTTATCGAGTGAAAACTTTCGTTGAGTGTCGAACTTAATTCCAAAAACAATGTACAAAAGCCTACTTGCCTTTTAGAGAACATTAATTATAAGAAATGATGCATAGTCTGCTGTGTGATTTACGCGAGCATATTAATGTCGTTGAAAAAGGAATTTCGGCTTGTATAATTAAAATTAAGCTTACATAGATGTGGAACAATCATCTTAAAGCATTGATAATGAAAAAGAGCTAGCTTAGGTTACTAACTGGCTTATGAACTAAGAAGATAAGGGGACTTTTGTGAAATATTTTAGGGTGGTCGGTTTTTTTTGCCGGGAGTGTATTTGTAATATTTTCTAAAATTCCAATTTTTTAGCCTAATACCAGCAAGGTGACATACCCATAGTATATTGGACAAGGGACTTTTAAAAACTTCAGGAAAGGATATTCATAATGTCTAAGAAAGAGAAAAATATCGGATAGACTTTGCCCAATAGATCTCGTGTAATGACAGCAAAACTCTTTTTATAGTTCGTGTTTCCTAGGATGTGGATGGAGCTGCTTTGGAACACTCAAAAAAAAGATAAACAAAGAGGAAACGCACTTTTGGTGGAAATGCTTAAGCCAGGCGATACTAATCTGCGATATAGACCAAAGACGTTTTTTCTTTTCATGAAAAATTACGCCTTCTTACTGCTGTTCTTCATACAACATTAATACGTACCTATTATATTAACTTTGGACTCTTGAAAGACAATTTAGGAAAACACAGACTTAAGAATGATTACGAAGTTAAAGAAACTGGTTTCTTACAGAAGCACAACAAAAACATTGTTTTCTAATTTAATAAAAAAATTTACAATCGTGTGAGTTCTGTATTTGTAACTGAATTATTACTTAGCTGATATTTTTTGAAATGCCGCCTTGTAAATAACTCAACCGCTGTCTGTCCGTCCTCTGTCTTAGGCGTTACTTGGCAACAAGGCTTGGTGTGTATGCGACGCCATGCAAACTGTAACACGCTTTGGTCCGGGCCAACGCCTGCCATCGCAAACCTTGATGGAAGCACATAAATAGTTAAGACCTTGCCAGCCGCTTGTTTCGCCGGATCCGAGGCGTCATAGATCCGATGTTCGCCGGCCGGCGAGCTGCACCTAACCCGATCTGCCATGGGATTACGCAATGGCTATTATCAACCCGCGACTAGCAGCTACTGATGCTCACTCTTCGCGGCTATGGTTTCCATTCAAATTCCAACTATTTTCCACGGTCGCTTATATTTAGATGCAACGATGTGCTGCCAGTAGCCATCAATTCCAAAATTTGCCGAGTGGTTGTTTCTCAATTGTCCGCATTATTTTGAACTTCCATTGAAGGCGGGATTTGGGAGTGGTAAGTTGCAATATGTCTTATGAATGAACAACTGTTTCATATTCATCAATACTTTTTTAAAGCAAATGCCGAATTTAGTTCCATTTGGACGTACTGCACCCAATATCTTGAACGAATACATTGGAGAATACATCTTGAAATAATTAACTTGAATTTCATAACAATGACGAGAGTATCTTGTGTCTAGTTTATTTGCATATTTATTTACACGTTAAACTGTATTTTACTTGTCAGGCACTCAGGCAGACGTCAGTTTTAAAATAATGCTAATGAAGAATTACCGAAGCGTTGAACAGGCGCTTAAAACATAACACGACAATGTCTAATAAATATTTAACATTATTTCGGTTGTTATTTCCTATGTGCGTTTAAATTTAGATGCATTTTACTGCCAAACAGCAGCTATTTTCACAGACGAGTCTACCGAATTTATTATTGTTTACCGTCTTGCAATTGTTTTGGTTCCAACATTCATTGATAACCAATTTCAGCCACTATGGTAAATATTGAAATATTTGAATGTCACAATAGGATATTGCCAAGCACCATAAACGATTATTTCAAAATTAGTATTATTACTGGATACAGTGGGTATCATATTGTTTAAATTAATTTGGTGAATAATTTACATACAATAAAATCAGGAGTGACTCAAGGACGTGGCATTGGGACACACCTAAGTTTATCAGATTGCGTTGGAGGAAAATACGCAAGTTGTACCACATGATAACGCAATTTCGTATTAGCAACTGTGTAGTCATTAGTCATAACACAGTTTAAAAATTGAAATATTTTGGTAGATATCCTCATATGTTCGTATCAGACACCTCTGTTTTCTATTTGTGGTACTATCTTTAGTTGCTGATTAGTTTGTAGGTATTCTACAAATTGTCTGAATTTTATTCTTACATTTTATAGCTTCATTTTAAATAGATTGACATACAGTTAGTTACTTATGTACCAAGGGAGATACAGGGATGATTATGCTCGCAGGCGACAGATTGCAAGGGCATAATCATCCTAATATCTCCCGTGGTGCATACAACGTTTTATTTTTTACTTAGACATCTGATTTTATATTTATTTTAAGTTTAATAATTAAATCTAAATGAGAATGAAAACAGTTTTTTAATATATAAATGATGTATCCAAGATATATCTACGACACCCGCAAATTTGTAGATTGTGATACTTTGATGTTTGATTCTGAGGAGACATATTGAAAAGGCAGGATAGATAATATTCCAACGATAGTTGCTGCTAGAGCCAATAAAGCCAATGAAGAATTACTACCTAAGTAATCTAAATTACTTGGTAAAGAATATAAACGTATTGACACTTGGACAAGCAGAAATTAAGTGACAAGGGAAACTATATTAATGGGATATTTCCGTGAACTGGTGTGTATTACCTTTTATCATTTTAAAGTTTAAAGAAATATTTATAATATTTTTGATAATTTGTATTTTTTATAGTCAGAATCACTCAATCTTAACACATTGTGGATAAAGTGTTCAATGTTGGAGACCACATCGAATAGAAGATTATTTGAAACAAATATCGAAAGGATATATCCCAAAAAATCTAAGATATTGACAAGAGAGCATATTATTTATAGGAAATAATTTGCTATATTATTGCATGTGCTTAATAGGTTTTTATTATTGTGGGTTGTTCTAGTAATATGTGTTTTTGGAGGACTAAGGAGAGATGAATGAGTTGGTAAAGCTCTCGATAGATGATATAGATGACGAAGGAATCGTTATTGTAGTAAAAATTAAGGATACAAAAACTGAAGTACCAAAATCTTTTACTATTGAGGAAGAAAATGAAATGCACGCTCTCCAATTGTATGGAAAGTATATATCTTTGGAACCAAAAGAAATTAAAGAACGGCGGTTTTTTTCTGACATATCGAAATGGTCGATGTACTGCGCAACTAATAGGAAAAAATACCATCGGTAGCACACCGTCCAGGATAGTAAAATATATCGGCTACGCAGATGCTAAAATGTACACAGGTCATTGTTTGCGTCGTACATCGGCAACTTTTCTCGTAGATGCAGGTGCAGATTTGATAACATTGAAAAGACATAGAAAATAGAAGAGTGATACTGTAGAATCAGGATATGTAGAAGAGAGCATAATGCCCAAGAAAAAAGTATCTTGTTTAACAGCAGGAGTCGAAAGAACTAGTGATGACAATTTTTCTGAATTGACTGTGAGGGAAAATGAACAACATTTTTTATTTGATGGCAAAGAAAATTTAGGTAGTTTTTCTGGTGTTACTGTTAAAGGTTCCTTGCCAAATTGTACTTTCGTAAAAGACGGTTGTAAAAGATTGTTGTTATTAATTTAAAGCAAATTATTGTTATACATCAAATATTAATGTTAATAAACTTTGTACATTCATTAGTTAGTTCATTTATACAAGGCACATTTACTATTCTACCCTGACGGAAGAGAAAGGTACACAATAGGGTCAAAATGCGGACGATAATATTTAGGTCCGCTTATTTCGCCCTAGTGATATGACGTTATGTTCCTATTCCATTTCCTAGTAATAAACAAGCTACAGTGAAACATAAAGTATAATTCCGCCTAAAAGTTAGTTATCAGAGAGTACCAATAAAATTATTAGCAATGAAAAATACTTTTAACCAGGTCTTAATGAATATTTTCAGCGCATAGCAACAGTTTTGTTTAAGGCAAATGGACCATTTATTGCCAGTGGGAATTAAAAAGTAAAAGGTTCCAACAATAACAGAACGTTACCAAATATTTTCGGACCCGTCTGGCGTAATCAGAGTAAATTGAATTCGAATTATTAATTGCAGATTTTGTAGCCGTTATATAAAAAATTACCGAACCGCGACCGGCAACTTTTACGAAGTAAAATGCTATTTAAAATTCTTTTACTATTGATGCAACATTTACTGACCACTTTCACATTATGAGGAAGACGTGCCCAAGATTTATTGATTGTTGCGGAAAATAGAAATCTGTCATGGATAGTCCTCCATTAATTAAAATTCTAGCGTTAGTATTCCAGTCCTGGAGGCATATTTATTAGCATTTCCTTGACATATTCCAGCTAGGTACCCGAGCTGACTGTGGTCATGCCTAAGTAGCTCTTACATAAAGATTTAGAACCGTTTCAGTCGTGATATAGTAAAAATGTCTAAAAAGAAACGCCACGGACTTGTGAAATTATCCATTTTTTTATTTTCAACTTAACGACTCGCTAATAAACTGGCTTTTAAGCGTGTTGTAATTACATCTTTAAAGTAGGTTACCTTAAGTCTTGCCTTGCGCTTTTCACCGTTATTTAAAGCAAAAATAGATGTGCGTTCCTGTACAGCAAATTATAAACATATGTATGGATATGGTTACTGTTAGATACAAACTTGCAAATATTTCCTTGAACTAACTGATCTTGTAAAAAAAGTGGAGAAAGGTAAGTAATATTGAAAGAGCAACAGAATATACATGTTATTTCTTGTATTATATAAATTCCTACCTTCTTCTTGCGAGGTAAGTCATCCGGATAGTAATCCATCACTATGCCCTCGTCGGAAACCGAACTTGAAGAAAGAGGTGCGGACTGAGGTGAGTATGCTCTGGGTGGTGGTGATGGAGTTGATCTGTAGGAGGCAGAACTACTGCTGCTTCCTGGGGAGGTACTGGTGTATGAGAATGCTGAAAAATATTGAAATTAGTGTCTTAAAACCGATACTTCAATCTTATAATAACAAGATATAGTTTTAAGTAATAAAATGTATCATCGGACTGATATATGTATTCATTACGTAAACCATAACACGAATTTGAAAAGTAATATCGCTTCGATTTTTGAACATAAAAGTCAGAGTAACGGTAAACTAATATATAACTTTTTTATAGCTCTATAACGAAATTCTAAATTATTGGGGACTGAAATTAGTGTTTACAGACTAAGTTAATTTTTATTGGATCATATCGATGTATGCTCTGAATATATATTAGAATGATTATATTATTCGGTTTAAAGCAATAAAATTAAATTTGTTATTCAGATTAAGAAAGAATAATTTTCTTGAGACTTTGAATAACCACATATTATAAAACAAAGTTCTCCGCCGCGTCTGTCTGTCTGTCTGTCCGCGATAAACTCAAAAACTACTGCACCGATTTTCATGCTGTTTTCACCAATGGATAGAGTGGATCTCGAGGAAGGTTTTAGTATATAATTTGTTAAATTTTTGTATACATTAACGATATTTGTTGGAGGTGTCCGAAAAAAATAAGCCGTCTGGGAGCTTTCAACGAAAACGCTGCTTAAACCCTTTGAGATATAACAAAATAATGTATGGTGGAATTGTGTATCTTATATAGGTCTACAGAAAAGTCCGCGAATATCCATTTTAATACTTTAAAAAATGGGCAATTATAAAGCGGTAATTGGAAAGCTATTTACACAAATACCGTATTAATCCTTATCATTTTAAATACGTTAGTTGGCTTGAGCATTTCATGAAGATTATTTTTTCCATTTACACCATGCAAATTAAATGAATACCTTAGGAGATATAGCAAAATCAAAATAATGCCCAACGAAATTAATTTCGTGTCGCCGTGATTCGCCGACCGGGCCGCGCGGACGCCCCGTGACCCCGCGCCTCGCGTCCGAGCCGGGGGAGTCCGAAAGTTTATGTAGTGTATCAATGTATGGTGGAATTGTGTATCTTATATATGCCTACAGAAAAGTCCGCGATGACATGTGTCTATATGTTAAAGATAACATACTACCTATATCCATTTTAATACTTTAAAAAATTGGCAATTATAAAGCGGTAATGCAAAAGCTATTTACACAAATACGGTATTAATAAATAAGTTAGAGGCTTTAAGCATTTCATGCACATTATTTTATTCTTTTACACCATATAATTTAAATGAATATCTTAGGAGTAATCGCAAAAAAATTAAGGACGCGAGAATAAAATTCAAGCGCGTCGCTTTGCTTGATGTGATCGCTGACCCTCCCCCCGCACCGTCTTGCCTACTGTTTAGTTAATAAGCCGAACGATAACGCGCGCGTGATCCTTTAATAAACTGACTTGGAGCGAATGGAGGTGACGACTGACGACTGTGTTTTCTTTCTGGGTGTTGTTGGAAGGTTATAATTGCGTTCAATATTTTAAGGTCACATTTTTGTTTTGTATTTGTTGTCTTTAGGTAGTCGGAACATACATAGATACTTGCAAACATACTTTTATTTCATTGAGTTTTAATAATAATTTGTTTATCTTTTTTTTCTTATTGTGAATCATTTAAATCTTCATAGTCGCATTTTTGTTTTGTGTTTGTTTTCTTTACGTAGTTAGATACCTAACTACTAACTTATTAATTAAAATTGATAGTCCAGAACATAGGTACTTTAATTTAATTCGTTTTTTCACATTGTTGGTAGTTACCTACATTGTTTTAAATTTAAAGGTTTTGCATTTTTAGTTTTGAATTCATTTGTTGTCTTTAGATATATAGATATATCGTGAATTATTTTAAAATTAATATTAGGGTCGCATTAGATGAAAGATGATTGATTTTTTGTTTGTTACGATTTAACTCAAAAACTACTCAACCAATTTTACCGAAAGCTACATCTCCTCGGAGTAACATAGGCTATTTTATATTTGCCCGTGCGAAGCCGGGGCGGGTTGCTAGTTATTATATAAATATGTTCAGCAGTTTGTAAAATGTCGTTGATTTAAAATGTTTGTTGTTTTTTAGGTTAGTAGTGAGTAAATACATATATAGATTAAAGTTAGAGACCACAGAAGAGAAAAAAAAACTGTATCTGTAAGACTAATGATCCTTTTCCGTGCAGTTCTATTCCATTCCTCCATTTATATTGATCAATTAACACATGAAAAACTCTTGTAACAGTTTAACTAAATAAATTTCCTTAACCAACAAAACATGCTACTCATATCAATGTTTTATTTTATTCAGATCTGATCAATAGGAAGTACTACATACCAAGAAACAGGAAATGTACAAGTTATAAATGTATCTATGCAGATACTCGTTAATGAACGTATGCATATTAAATACTGCAGAGAAATAAAGAATATACGAATAATAAACTATTACCCACAACAGTATTATTCAACGTCCGTTTTAGGTCACCGCTATTGAATTTCCCCCCGAAAACGACACGTTTTCAGGACTAATTTACATGTTTCGCATACCCATTAGCGAATTAGACTACAATTAAAAATAAAATTTTCGGTAAACACGTAGGCGTAGCGTCAGTATATTTAACATTGAGAAGCAACCGGTATATTTGACTAGCCGAGCGACAAATTTAACAGTTTTTAACACATGGCAAAATATTTTTACCACATTGACATAAATTAGCACGAGCAAACCGCACAACTATACAGCAGTGGTTTGTTTTTGTTGTTTATTTTCTCCGTATATGTGCTAAAATACTGAGTTTCAGTTTACTGGCCCATTACAAAGCATGTATCTACGTAGGTAGTTAAGTACGACAATAACGTGCTTTTGACAAGCTTATCCGTGACGCAATGTGTTGGGAATAAGGAGTTTAAAGTGTTTGACCTAGATTTTTAAAATTGCCAGCGCTCGTAATAATGCCATTTTTACAACTAACATCTGGTTTAGATTTAATGTACGCGTTGATAAAACAATTAAGTAGGTTAGCGCCGATGTTCCTTGGTTCAAGAAAAATGTCTATGGCGAGTTCAATGGCTTGACCTAATAACTGATTCGCACATTCAATTTAATAGTGATGATTTAAACATTCAGTGACGTGAGGATTGATATATTGCACTATTGGAAAAAATTGAAGAAGCAAAAAATTTTCATGAAATGATTTTCAAAAGGCTGTATCAGTGAAAAACGGTCGTATGGAGATGAAGAAAAAACTTTAAGTCTCTAGTTTCAAGATCTTTACACAAACTATTTTCTTGAGGCACAGTTATCGGACAATGAAAAGAATTACAACTAGAAAAAGAATTCTCCACGGACACACGAACATTTTTTCAAAGTCAATCAATACAGAGGTCAGTTAGCTTATTTGTTCAGCTTCAATTTGATTTTTGGAAGGTCTCCGTGAGTCCATGGACTGTCCTAAAAAAAATTTTGGAATTTTTTTTTCGATGTATTTCTTTTGATTGCTCAATAACTGTAACTCAAAATCACTTTTCACTGAGAACCAGAGTTTCGAAAATCACTAAAAAAGTCATGAAAATTTTTTGTTCCTTAAATTTTTTCCTGTAGTGATATTAAAGCAAAAAAATGCTAAAGAGAGGTATCTAAGAAAAAAACTTTAGTGTGGATATGATAGATATTCTAATTGCATTATATTGGACATCGGACAAAAATTTTTTAACCTATTGGAATAGAATTCACATCAACAGATTTTTTTCCTACAGGATATAAAATTATTATAACCATCAACCAACATAACTGTGCTTTCATAAAAAATTAGATAAGGAAAACAACATAATAAAGACATCGATTCCAGCAGTTCCCATCCCATTCTTTTTATTCAAATGTTACCCATCGAGGATATCATGTAGTAGCAATTAGATTATTTCGATAGGATCGCCGATCCGCAGATGTATCATACGTATAGATTGTGGGAACCTGGAACTGGATGGGCAATAATTTTCTTGTCTCCTATTGTGATTTATGGACACTACATTAAAATATTGCATCTATCGGCTTGGGCAATGCCTATATCTCTCGTATAAAGGTGTTAACCTTCACCTCTTGACGCAATAAATATCTGTTATATTACACGCTATGCACTGCGAGATGTCTAATTAAGAATTGCTAATTACTGCAAAACCCATCCGAGATATTTATATTACAAAAAAAACGGGATTACAGTAGCTGTAACGCAATGGCTCCGCTAAAATACACCTATAAATAAGCAAACACCTAACAGTGTTACATAATAACGGATAATTCGCACGACACGTGTTTGACTTTGTTATAGCGTGCACGCGCCTGGCTGCAATGGTATGCTTTTGTTTTATCAATGTCGCAGCACCCTTTGTTGGTTCGACGTAGAAGCGTTATTTATTGATTCAGGCCAATCCGTTCTACATATACGTTCAGCCATTATGGACACAAAGAGTATGACCACACTGCTACCTAAATTGGGTAACAATGGTTTACTACTGACCACGAGTGACTAACAATGTGTTTCATGGCTCCTTTGTCTACAAGCAAATGACAACATGATGAGGAATCCTCAACTACGTTCCTTTGTTTTAACGAACATTACAGGTAAAAGATATTTGGAGAGATGTTAATTAAAAAACGTGGAGGCAAAATACTAAGGTTTTCTTTGAGGGAGTCTTGGTAAAGGAACATGGTCCTACCCTTTAATGATAATTAACAGTTGTTTATACTTGTTTTCTTCATTTCCTCGAAAATTCTGCTGAGTAAATTCATTCTGCATCTATAACTTCTCTTGGAGAGCTGTTCTGCGACAGTAAATGAAAATATGAAATCCTAATGATAAAACACATACGAGCAGGAACTATACAACAACAGGACGTAAACAGAGGCAACGCACTGACCGTTGAATCCATAAATAGACTGTTTTAATCAGCGTTTAATTTCGTGCTTCGGGCGCGTTTGGTTCTATACATGGCAAAGCAGGCGCCAAGCTGTTCCCACTTTCCGCTTCAGTGAAATGTGTTGACCCATCAACAAGCGCTCCGAAGTGTAAAAAATGGTGTCTCTTACATTTTACTACAACCGTAAAATGTATATGTACACATATACGGTAAGTGGTAATGTTGAAAACAAAAGAGAAGCCATCTTTACAGTGTTTTGTTTTATGTACATTGTGATCCTCCATAAATTTTACGTTTGTATTTAAAAGCCTAATATCTCTTGTGCCTCTCCATATTATCTCATTTTGACTTGCTGTGTCTCTGCAATGAAATCATTTTTTTAACATACAAATCATTTTCTCCGTGATGAAGTTTATCTTCGAAGGATTAAAAAGGAACATTAACAGTAGCTTCAAAGTATTAAGGGACATCAGCGGAAACCCTATTTTTGAAAAGATATCCCGATAACGTTTAACCGAACTGCTTCCTATCAGCTATCTCTCCCACTCTGTGGACGTAAAATAATAATAGCAGTAATGATGAAAACTGGGTCAACCACGCATAACTAATGAAGATACAACGAAAGTGATAAAATAAACACGTAATACACACCCAGATAAATATCCATGTCAGTCGTCAATTTCTTTCATTGGCGCTGGCAGCTATTGTGCAAATTTAGGACAGATAACATCTTGTTGAATGATAGCGTTAAAAAAGTTGTATACCTAGACACAATTTGCGTTTGTACCAGTTACCTTCAAATCCAGTGCCAATTTTAAATGCTTGCGGTGAATGGAGAAACAAACAATACGTCATCCGATAGCTAAACATAAAACTCATCACTCAGCAGCACGATAAAACATTTCTTTAATACACAAAGTAATGTACTGGATAGAATATGTAATACCATAATGAAATGTTTTTGTTTTCATAAGCATGTTTGTATGAGATAAATACATAATTAATTAATTAGACGCAAATTGCTTATCTCGGAAGTTTGATAATATAAAATCAAATAAATCATATATATATCAACTCAATTCTGCAATTAAAATTGGTACCATTAAACTAATTTTCAAGCAACTGATCGTGATCCAATTTTTGTACCGAACAACCAAAGTGAAAAGTGAGTTAAATTACTGTTCAAAGGGTGTTACTTTATTTTTGCCGAATGGACTTTTACCTGTTCTATTTTTTCAAAGTAGAACCTATACAGACTTCTATACAATCTTCTACAGCAGCAGTGACAATATGGATCTGCAATTCGTATACCTAATTCATTTAAAAAGCCTTGGTTTCAGTAGGTATGTTAGATCAAAATTTGTTGGAATTCATAGACGCAGTTAAAAAGAAAAAATTAATTGTCTGGTCCAACTCAAAGATTGTGTCATCGTTTTTTACATTACTATTCCTCCATTAATCAATTCCATACTTCTTGCCAAATGATATTAAGCATGAACCTTGAAATTTTTTGCATCGCAGTTACGCAACTAATTTATGCGAAGTAATCATCATTCGGAGCCTACTAGAAATCACTTAATTGAATCATAAGAAAGAAGGAACACTTACCATTGAGATTTGGAGAATGAGGCGAGCAGGAGAGACTCATTAAAACTAAGGCGGCGCTGCATTCGTCCATTTGACTGTCCTTTGGACTGTCATCTTGGCTGCTGCTAGGTCGCCTTTTTCGAGATCTATAACAAAGAAGTTAGTTTATTATTTTTACTAAAAGTGGCACTACATGGCTTTTAAGAACAACTTGATTACTGATCCATATTTATTTGCATCTACTTCAAATATGTTTATTTGTCGGTATTTGCTCACACTATTAATAATAAATTATAACTTATTATTTATAATTATTAACTAATCATAACAATTAGTTAAACTTTAAATAGTAATAGAAACTACTTTGTTATTTTTTACTTTATTATTATCGAGAGATAGTATATTACTTGAGGACGTAGGTACTTCGGCACGTGTCGCAAGTAAACAATTACAATTAAAATGAAGAAAGTATGTTGTTTACAAACCATAATTACGCCGGGCTATCTTACACGTGGATATGACAATTTATAGTGGCAACAAATTAGGTTTTTATAAACAATTCTCAACTGTTCAGTATGCGCGAAGGACAGCACTACTGCATTAGACGACGAATTTAAAGCACGCGGATTTTAACCTTTCCGAAATGTCTACCTCGATGAGATTTGCTGAGGTCTTACGAATTTCGTTGACCCGCGTTTCTGTTATTCGTGGAACCTAACGTTTGCGTGGCGAGGAATGGGTTTTAATCCTAATTTTAGTTTTTGCTTTGTAACGCAAGAGTGTATTTCAAACAATACACAAAGAGACACACCAGCAGATTAATCGAATTAAGATAAAATATTATTTTCCAATAATGTAATTAACTAATCCTAACAAATTGCTGTTTGCGATCTTGTTTAATACTCGAAAAAAAATAAAAGGTGTGCTTGTAATCCATTTTTCTTCATACAGAAACATAATCTTACTATTCTTACAGTTCAAACAGGTACAATATGTAGCAGCTTACTGGGATTGGGTGGGTGGTGGTCATCATCCTGAGAAACATTTGAGTAGTTCTATGAACTTTAATCTTAGGGGCAACGTATTGTTATAATTGATTAACATAAATAGGTTACGTTCATAGTATTAACTGCGTTTGTTACAATATGTATTTAATCAATTGTGAGATATTGTTTCCGTATGTATATGTTCCAAAGTATGTTATAAATTTATAAGAACTCTTTTATTTTAATTTGAAGGAATGTCTCTATTTATTTAGGTAAATATTATATTTTTAAATATAAGGAGGATAATTTTACTTTACATATTTTCTTTTAGTTCTTTTTTTATATTCCAAAAGCTTCAATTAACACCGAATGTATTTCTCTTGTTTTTCATAATGTTACCCCAAAAAATGTATTTTGAATTAAAAATACGACAGATGTGTTCCCTAACAAGATATAGTGTAAACTACCAATATTTTTTTAATTATGATTCATTTGCAATACTTATAAAATAAATAAAATATAGAAGGTGATCTACAGGGTGTTTTGAAAAAGATAACATAGATTCAGTGATTAATATAATCTCAAAAAATAAGATCTTTCTTTAATCTTCTTTTGTTTTTGATGTACAAGGTGCAAAAACAATTTTTAAATTTAAATTTTGACCGTAACTTCGAAAAAATCGAAAAAAGATGAAAAAAAAAATAAATTATTGTATTGAAATTTGGTATACGTAAGCTCTTAAAGATGTTAACTATGCCGATATTGTTAGTTTCTGACTATCTGCTAACGTTTTTGGGGTTAGGCTTTTTTACAATGTATGTGATAATACCTACTAATGATTATTATACATTATCATGTAAAATTTCATTTTCCATAAAAAAGATGGTACACTTGTTGAAATTGAAAGCACTGTTTTTAAGAAAAATGCCATAGAATGAATAATGTGTCCGGAAACAAATTGACCATAATTCAATTGTTGAAAATCTCAACCGATTTATATCAAGTTACCTTATTACAATTTTTCTTCTTAAACTTCTATGCATTCAATATCATTTCTTGTTGTCCATTAAAATTCATTTTAATATATTATATATGAATATACCTATATTTTATAGAAATATGGGTTCTATGATGGACATAGGCTTCTTTTATACTTAAAATATAGAGCTCTCTACTTTTTTTTAGGTATATGTAGAGTAAGCATTCATCTTCGTCTACCCCAAAAGCGCCATTATCCCAATTTTGTTGAAATATCATCAATCATATTTTTTACGTTCTGTCAGCCCCTGAGTTTATCTTTTTGAAAACATCTTGTATAATTTTCTCTTCGCTAATGACTTGTCGCCAGTGTCCTGTTCGAACTGAAAAATTTCGACTTTGAACTCGAAATTTTGTAAATTTCGAAATATAATGTTGGAACTCAAAATTTCATGTTCAAACTGGAAAGAATAACTGCAAAAAACCCATTTTTTCGCCCGTTTTTGCGTAGTGTGTAGCAAGAACGGGGAAGGTCGTCCAGAGGTCTCCGTGGGCTTAAATTGATCGTCATGAAAAATCTAGGTGAGCATAATTCGATTTTTCCAATATTTGTCCGACTTACCCCTACTTAGGGGGTGGAAACCACCCCTAAAACAAGAAACGTGAGAAAATGGTCGATTAATTCTTGGTGAAAATTGGCGGGAATTTGAATCGCAAGGAAGAGATCAGGGATGTTCTTCCAAATATGCTCAAGGTGAAAAACATCCCTCGCGTGGGTGTAAAGCCACCCCTATTGCCGAAAACCGGCGGCAAATGATGTTCCCTTCATGAATTGCCTTTTTTGTGCCACTCTCTCTTATAAATCCAAATGATATGAAATACATGCCCCCATAATTCGTTCTTCTGTCGGATTCTGATCAGTTACCCCTACTGAAGGGGTGGAAATCACCACTAAAACAAGAAAGCAGAAAAAATGATCACCAAAATCTGGGTAAAAATTGGCGGAATTCCACATGGCAAGGGTAACATCAAGAATGACCTCCTAAAAATGCTCAAGGTGAAAAACACCCCCCGCGTGGGGGTAAAACCACCCCTATTGTCGATAGCAGACGGGGAATGATATCCACTTCATGAAGTACTTTGTTTTCCCCACTACCCGATAAATGATACGAAAGACGAGCCCCATAATTCGATCTTTTGTTTTACCCCCACGCGGGGGGTGGGTTTATCATGAGCATTTTTAGAAGGACATTCCTGATTTTACCCTTGCCATGTGAAATTCCCCCAATTTTACCTAGAATTGATCGACCATTTTCTCACGTTTCTTGTTTTAGGGGTGGTTTCCACCCCTTAAGTAGGGGTAAGTCGAACAAATATTGGAAAAATCGAATTATGCTCACCTAGATTTTTCATGACGATCAATTTAAGCTCACGGAGACCTGTACAACCTTCCCCGTTCAATGCAAAAACGGGCGGATTTTGCGGTCACTCTTTCAAGTTTGAACTTGAAATTTCGTGTTTAAATTCGGAATTTCGTGTTCTAACTTGATATTTTTAGTAAAAAAAAATAAAAGCATATGGGTATTCCTACGCTTACGTAAATACTAGATGCAAAAACATTTTGTATAGATATAGAAATTCATTGTGAAAATACTTCATTGTTACATTCATTGTTCCATAAGGGTTTGATTCTGCACATTTTTGCTCATTTAGTCACATTTTGCCTTTCATAATAAAGTAGATCCCTATAGAGTCCAATTAAAGTGTGTCTTGATATATGTTGACTTAAGGAAAAGCACAGGAATTTAAGACCTATTATGAATTATTAACCAACCATTGTTTCTTGAAATTTGATTTGTTACTGTTCAAAATATTAATATCATTCGCATTTCAATTTAGAACTTTGACACAAATAGGCGTTTCTAGTCGAATATAATCATTCACCCATACCAAGAAGTACAGCTTGTAAAACGTTGGTTATCGTAGTTAATTAATTTCATTGTACGTCATAGAAGTCACTTGGGAGTGCATTCATTCTCACGGCATTGTGTTGGCCACGGTTTTGCAATAGAGTAGGTACGTGCGGGAGAAATTAGTATCGCGTACATTTTTGCTGGTTAAAAGTAAAAGGATCGGCGCGGTGTGAATAGATGAGAATGAAAGTAACGATAATCGAGGTCGCCACCGAAAAGGCGATTGTGGAAATGGTTTCACGTTTCCGGTCGAAAATCTTCCGGTAATTTTTTATGGCAGTTACACCACACGCCGCTGCATGTATGAAATTCCGCGCAATTACATTAGAGAAAACCTAAGTGTTTCACGCGATGGATTGTGTAGTATTCGTCGTCATTTCCTTCGACGAAATTGAAAGTACAATGCGGGGAAATATCGCTATCGGGCGGACAATGGTTTTGCCTTGTCATAACCGATAAAGCAACTCGTTATCATTGCCAATGTTACTACACTATGCACTTTTTGCGTCATGTTCAAACACTTGTAAAAGCAAGAAAATTGGTAAATTACGCTAAAAGGATTAGTCGAGAAATGAGTTTCATACGACATATTTTCACCCAACAAAAAATCTGATATAAGGAAGATAGTCAATGTTTTCAAAATTTAAAATCTACTTTTGCAGTGAGAAATTTAAGTTTCAATTTTGTCCCAGAGTAATAGTACTTAGTGAGTACTATGCAACGTACCTACATTTATTGTCCGAAGTTACTTATTTGTATTTTGTCATATATGAAAAAACTTTATGCGCTAAAAAGATCATTCAAGAATAAATTTTGAGTTTTACCTAACTAAAAATCTTACATTGGAAACAGGCAAACAAATAAAAAATTAAAAATGTACTATACATCACGTACCTACAGGATGACTCACTATATTTTGACCCCCCTTTAATTTTTTTGTTAAAAGAGATACAAAAATGTGAATTATAAACCAAACAAAATGGCCACGGATGACAACTTTGCTAATTTAGATGGACCACCTTGTATATTTTTAAATGTTTGGATAGAAAGTTACATGTCGAGCATAGTCATATAGGGTTTGTTGGGTCCATCTCTAACAATAAGCGAGATACTATTAAAAAACGAAAAGAAGGTTTTTTTATTAGGAAAGTGAGACATCTTGTAATTGTTAGGCCTCTTTCAGGCACTTCTGCGTTTTTTCCAATTACGTAAGGATTTATAGATTTAGTTACAATATATTTTGATATATCGGACATTGATACGGTTCAAAATGCATATATGTAGGTATTTTAACAAAATCTCCCTAATTAGGCCGTGAGAGGTCTAGTCAACAGATAGTAATGTCATGACAACATTGTTATTGATTGACTGTTTAACTTTACTCTATTTTGATTCCTATAATATTTCAATTTTCTACTTCTGTGTAGCCTATTTTAATTAAATAATAATACAAACAGTCAATCAGTAACAATGTTTTCATGATATTACCTGTCAATCTCCGATATATCAAAATATATTACAACTAAATCTGTAAATTCTTACCTACGTAATTGGAAAAAGGCAGCAATGCCTGAAAGAGGTCTAACAATTACAAAATGTCTTATTTTCTTAATAAAGAAAATCTTTTTTTCGTTTTTTAATAGTATCTCAGTTATTGTTAAAGATGGACCCAACAAACCCTATATGACTATGCTCGATAGGGAACGTTATATCGAAATATGTAAAAATATACAGGATGTTCCATTTAAATTAACAAAGTTAACATCCGCGGCCATTTTGTTTGGACTTCATTTGTTTTCTACTATAATTTTCAAAAAATTCATAAAATAATCGTCAATTTCACATTTTTTTATAACTCTAAAAACAAAAAAGTTAATGGGGGCTCAAAATATAGTGAATCACCCTGTACTTCAATAATTTAACGTTAATTGATCTACTTTCTTTGTCAGGACTGAGAATGACGTTTCGTTTTCAAGACTAATTAAAAACGTCATTTTTTAGTTTTGCAAACCAAAGCAGATTGATTTTCGAAACGAAACAATTTTTTGAAGTGCGCAGTGCACAAGGTCGTTCTTTAAAATTGCGAAAAAGTTAACAGCGAGCAGAGATGCATAATGACTACTGCTGACAGGAATGTATTTTTAAGAATGCAGTAAAAAAAGGAACAAAAGAAACAAAAAAGTTTTAAGTGAGCCAAGAATTTAAATAGAATCTTTAGTATTAAAAATTTTCGACTCTATAAAACGATACAATGAAAGTACCGTTATGGGTGCCAATTTTCAATCTTTTTTCGAGGCTCACAGACGATTAAAAATATCGGTGTAGGGAAGCCTTTGAATTACATTCTTCTTTTGTTTCTCCAAGTGTGAGAACAAAATAAAAACTGAAAATTTACCATACCCCTTTAAAGGAGAGTAACCAATACTAGACATTCATGGATATAGGTTTATATAAAAGCCCTTTTACCAAAAAATCGTTCCTTAAAGTTTTTCGTAATATTATAGAAGCACTATAACAGAAGTTTCATAAATGCTTACAAACCACGTGTTTGGAACAGTGACTGTATTTATTTATTTATTTCGGTAAAATTAAAGTTGATAAAAACAAAAGATCAAGATTACATTAAAACAAAACATTGGTTTTCATCGGTTGGTAATTTTTCACAAGATTTTATTTAACCAATCAGCGATCACATTATCTTAAGTGTATATGTAACGGTGTGTCAGTGTTCGTTGTAAACGAACCATTATAATTGGTGACGCTAAGATTTTTAGTTGACAGTACCTGCCGTGCGAGGTTAGTTGCCTAAGCTCGGCGGTAATGTCGCTTGTAATCATTTATGAAGGCTCTCTATAATGTGTATATTTTATTTGTCTGCTTCTTTCAGTAGAGATTTTTGGTTAGAGAAGACTAGCTTCTTAAAAATAACCCTTAACTGATCGTTTCATTATTTTTTTCACGAGGAAAAATAAATCAATAGAGAAAAAAAATAATTCTTCATTTTTTTATCATCAATCGTAGGAAAGTGATCACGTTCCTACAGCTGCAGGACTCAATCAACGAACAAGGACAAAACGTTGTGTCAAGTCCGTCAAGGCAATTACTAGTGATGCTATTTTGTGAGATAATCATACCATGAGACATCAATATAGTCCTCTTTACTAATGGAATTTTGACAACTTGAGAAGTCCCTTTTTCTTAGATAAGTTTTCTTTATAGGAAAATTAAAATGTTTTCTAATGGTATGTAATGAAATATTAAAAGTGAAATCGTGCCTAGCGAAAAAGGAGCATTAAGTAAAATCTATTTTTAATATCTAAGTACGACCTATAGAAAACAATCAACGTAGTTATTTTTTATCAATTCTATGCATTATAAGTCTATAAATGATAAAATTTAGAAAATAGACATTTTAATTATTTGAAATATCAGATATAGAAATACGCTCACTTTAACATAAAATTGGAACGTCACCGATTTATATTTGTGTGTATTTGAATCACGTTTACACAATGAAACGACCTCAGTTGAGAACACGTGTGTTTTCTGTGAAACACCTTAGAAACATCCCAACAATGAAGGACATTGTTGTACAACATAGACATAGAACAACAGAAGAATTTGATACGTATAAAACTACTGATTTGTGTCAAGAAAATTTTGAAGCAACCGCTTGCTGTGCTGATAATTAGTAAACAACTAAATAATGTTGCCTTCATCGCAGAGGTACGTGAGAAGAACGAATTTACCGAAATAGACAGACAGATAGATGGTTATAAAATTAACCACGCACTTTTGGAAATAGAACAAAATAAACAAACCCGTCATAAATATGACTGCCAACGCATAGTTCGTGTACATACGTTTCGGTACCTCATCGTATGACATCACACATATCTGTTTATATTACATAATATATGATCGTTGCTAATAAATCAATTTGTTGTTTTATTGTACGGCAATGTCACAGTCGGGTTGACAAATCAAACAGCTGAAAGTCGACGTAACTACACGCGTGCTCCAAAGGTCACAGGAACAATAAAGCGTGTAATTAGAATAATTAGAGTTTAGAATTCGTGCATTCGCGTGGGAGTGGCTAGATAAATCATATTAACGTTGCTTATTATATGTCGTACCCGTAATGGTATGAGGGAGCTGGCACGTCTATAGTATGAGAGGCAGTTCTTTTTCTGTCGCCAGCCATGTCAGCCAGACGAGCGAAGTCTGTGTCCTGGTCGGCCAATCGGGCAGATTTTCTCGATTCTAGCAAACGCACCTCCTCCAGTCTCTTTTGAACCTCAAATGGAGCCTGTAACAATAACAAAATCGTTAGGTATGCTTTATTACTAGTTATTATACGGGGTGTTTCAAAAAGTTAATACCAAGTATTTGAGACTAGCAAGGAAGGACGATGACATTTCGATTCTGTTTGACGTTATGGAAAAAATAAAATTGCAAATCTACTATTGGAAAGGTCGTGCTCTTTTGTAGGACGTGGATAAACCTATCTGTATTTTAGAACACTATCATAAAAAGGATGAAACAATGAATGTCGTACAAGTTCATTTTTTGAGGGTATGCTGAAGTCCGTTACATGAAATTATTATACACTACGCGCCTAAAGTATGGAATAAATTCAGTAAAAACTAAACAATTTTTTTTAGGAAAAATCCTCGAATAGGTCGATTTTTAATTTAAAAAATACATATTTTAGCATAAAAGGCGATTTTCAATCGTCATTTGTTTTCGAGTAATGACGTCATCGACATATTTTTTTAAATAGCAACCCCCTATTTTTTTTCCTGATTCTGAAAGACCGTTTCATTGTCCATCCGACAGTATTAAAATGTTGTCATCTTATATAGGAAAGTTTTCGAGTAAATGACGATAGAATGTTAGAAAACGTAAATTTTATTCATTAAAAAATAACATTTCCTATGTCAAGCAAATACAATTCATTAAATTTTCTACCTAAATTAAGTGTTCGAATTGCCACCCACCGACTTCTTTACAATACGCAAGTCTGTGTAGAAATTCTCCTTGCACATTATGAATTATTTCTGGGGTAACTCTGTGTATTTCATCTATAATACATTGCTGGAGTTCTTTTAAATTATGTGGTCTATTAATGTACACGTTGGACTTTAAGTAGCCCCATAAGAAATAGTCCAGGGGTGTAAGATCTGGGGATCTCGCGGGCCATTCTATCGGTCCTCGTCTGCCGATACACCTCCTAGGAAAACATTTGTCCAGAAAATCTCGAACAGGGCGCGCATAGTGCGGAGGTGCACCGTCTTGCTGAAACCATATGGTGTCATTAGGAATATCAAGGTCATTATCGTTAGGAAAAATTACTGCAAGCGCTGGACCAAGGTCATTTTGTAAAAACTCGAAATATCTTTCTCCTGTAAGGGTTCCTTCAAAGAAGAAAGGCCCTACTATTTTGTTGTCAACTATTCCAGCCCATACATTTAATTTCTGTGGGTGTTGGGTATGTGTCTCTGCCACCCAATGAGGATTTTCCCGACTCCAATACCTGCAAGTTTGACGGTTCACTGTACCATTGAGACAAAACGTGGCCTCGTCTGAAAAAGGTATTTGCCGGTGTAAATCTCTATTTACTTGACATAAATCCATCATAATTTCACAAAAGTGTAAGCGGCGGTCGGGATCGTCTTCATCGAGTTCCTGCACAAGTTGAATTTTGTAGGGATGATATTTTTCCTGCCTCAGGATACGTAGCACTGTGGTCTGACTAATTTCATTGTTTAATGCAACCAATCGTGAAGTATTATGAGGATTATCTACCATACTTATCAAAATGTTCTGTTTGTGATCTTCACTAACGCTAGGACGTCCAGGTTTTGGAATATCTACAACATTGCCAGTTTCTCTAAATTTAGATTCTATCTTAGAGACTGTTGATTGGCTGATACGGCGATCTGGATGTTTTTCATTAAATAAATCGCAAACTTCCTGCTGCGTTCTAGTCTTATCCGCGCATCCGATAAGAATTAAAATTTCAATTCTCAATACTTTAAATTCAACAATAATTTTTATATATCTTACAATACTTAGAAAGTCGGTATAACAGTGATGCTTTGTAAAGGTTTACACCTACGTGATCCATAAAAAACTTCAGGCATTTCGAAAAACTAAATTTAATAACGTTTTTGCTTTATTTAATTGATTTGGGTAACATTCAATCGTCATTTACTCCAAAACTTTCCTATGTGGCAACATTTTAATACTGTCGGATCAACAATGAAACGATCTTTCAGAATCAAGAAAAAAAATAGGGAGTTCTATTTAAAAAAATGGCGATGACGTCATTACTCGAACAAATGACGGTTGAAAATCGCCTTTTATGCTAAAATATGTATTTTTTAAATAAAAAATCGACCTGTTTGAGGATTTTTCCCAAAAAAAATATGTTTCGTTTTTACTGAATTTATTCCATACTTTAGGAGCGTACTGTATAGGTTGATATAGGTTAATCATAATGTGATTAATTTTAACCGTATTGATGGGAAGGTCTAATAATGACAGAAAATCGAAAAAAAATTATACTCGACGATTCAAAAAATAAGCAAATTACCCCGTAACTTCGCCTTGGAACAAACTTATAATTTGATTAGAGGAATTCCCTGTATATTTTTAAATATTCCCTTAAATCAGAAAGGTCACTTACTCTCACCTTAAACGGTGAGAGTAAGTGACCGAATTAATTTTGCCATACAAAACTAAATAAGTATTATTAAGAACTTGCGTGGCTATTTGGTTATTCTTTATAATACCCTGGTATTTCTATTGACTTGATAACGTACGAGTGACAAGTCATATTCCTTGATTTTGACTTAATTCGAGGATCAAACGTTCCAGATAACAGACGCAAAATTCATGGAAAATTACAAGTTCCTTTGTTTTCATTTGGAAATTAATAGTGTGCATTTATAAATACATTATCATATTTATCTGCATTTATTGTGAAGTGGAAAAAACTACTTTTTTATGTGCGTTTCGCTGTTTCTATATTGGCAAAGGTCAAATATCGTGGTCGCCAAGCAGACTGAGGCAACGCTATCTGTACACCGAACGAAACAACCTTTGAACAATAATAAAATTGCGTCAGATATAATTTTAGTTGGTACGCCAACAGTAATCGTCAAGTTATATACGGTTGCGGTAAATTACAAATGCACGGCGAAACCGGCGTTTCTCTTTCATCATCGGAGTGTTTCTGGGAGCCTTTAATCAACAAGTTGTTAGAAGTGCAGACGGAAAATTCCAAAGGCAAAGGTAATTTCGTATATACGGTTATGAAAAACTTAATGACATAGATCGTTAGAACCGAACGCAGTGAAAAACCACAACTACGAGCTGCATCTGGAGATAACCTCGAAACACAAATACCTTTTTATAAGCAGGTCTTTGCGTTTCATTAAACCGGTACGTTCCAGGATTTTATTTATAATTTAATTGGAACGTCGATGTTTTTATCTTCATTTTGTTTATCTATAAATACATCTAATCTATAGCCGGGCACTCGGCAAAAGCCCGGCCGGCATATCTAAATATGTCGCAAGAAAAGCAGAGGAGGCTTGAGTCAAGCATCGGTACAAACGAGCGTTGACGTCATGCCAAACAAAAGCCTATTATCTGGGCACTGATAGCGCGACTACGCACTTATTATTTCCAGCTGATAGAATTCGAGGTTGGCATGGAGTTCGCTTTCTTCGATATTGAAGGCTAATTTTAGTACAGACGTTTCGAGACAATTCAGAATATTGCCACCGTTGTACGTGACGACAATTTAAGTGCCTCATAAAATCAATTTCAATTATGCGAATGTCTAAATTATCACCTGCATTCTTTCTCCATACTCCAAATGCATTTAATTAAAACAATCAAATATTGAAAGCTAAATCAATTCAACGATTAGTTTAAATTTTTAAAACGGCACTAAACATTTTCTTAACGCCTCTGCTTATTTTTTATTGAGTGCTAAGCGGCAGCAATTCCAAGTGCTACTTGAACCTTTGCTATTAAGGCCAAATCCACTCAGATAAATGTTTTGTCCAACTTGGAACGAGCGTTAGAGGAAGAATGGAATGCGATATTAAAAAAATGTAAATGTAATTACTGGTATGGGTTGTGAAAGCAAGAGGGAAAGCCGCGAAAGTGTAATTGCCGCGTAGCTTCTCTAACAGGTGGATACATCTAATGGTAATTTGATTATTCAGGTGCAAAACACAGGAGGCATAAAAGTTTGTCTTAATCAAATTAATGATACGTTCGAAACGCGCAGTATGTTTTCAGCGTGGCCGGTAAGTGACAAATTTTGCAATGCAAAAATGCTGCTATTCGTGCGGAATTTATATGACACTGTGGTCACGTTTTGCATTTTATTTAATGTAGATCATATGTTAAATATAGAAAACGTAATGCACTATGTATAGAAAGTATTGTTTAAAGACAAAAAGGTCAAACTTTTGAAAAAGCTAGTATGGACACAATGAAATAAAACTATTACAGAAGATGGAAGAGGAGCAACTTATCTAATTTTATATCTGGTGTTTTATATAACCCGTTTAATACAAACTCATTATTTCACAGACAATTTAGAAGATTCAGTAGCTTTCGGTATGCTGATAATAACCGAACATTTTTAATTACGCTCTAATGGAGATATTTAGTGTTCTTCCTCTGTAACCACATGTTCTTGGATTGTTGATATCTCTTTTAGTTTTCGTGATATTGTTCTTTGAATGCAACGTGTTTAAGTGTTAGTGTCGATTTTTGAAATGTACCATTTTCTGGAACAACGATTCAACGTAACCTTTTGCGTGAAACTGAGGAAAACTCTCATGGAAACGTTTCACATTTTGCAACAAGCTTACGGAGATGATTCTCTGGGCCGCACGCAATGTTACGAATAGTTTTCGCGATTTATTTAAGTGGTCTGCAGTCAATTGAAGATGATCTGCGACCAGAAAGGTCTTTAACTTCAACTGATGACTCACGTTCAGAAAGTCAAAGATCTGGTACGTGCAAATCGCTGATTGCCTGTCAGAGAAACTACACAATTGGGTGATGCCATGAAATTTTGACTGAAAAATTGAAGATGCATCGAGTTGTAGCAAAGTTTGTTCCTCGTTTGATGACTGCACAACAGAAAGAAAATCGTTTGGACGTTTGTTGGCAACACCTTGAACAATCTAATAATGATGAAACATTCACTCAAAAGATCAAAACGGGAGACGAAGAAAGCTGGGTTTATGGCTACGAGATTGACACAAAAGTTCAATC